CACAGGGTTGCAGGGTCGGTCACGAGTGAGCGCCTGCACAACGGCACCGACAGCGGCGTGCGCCCAAGCTCTCTGATCACGGGTCTCGGCCCAGGCTCTCTGTCCCAGATCCCAACCATCCTCCGAGCACGTAACATCCCTTGAACTTGCACCGGATGAGCGTCACTTTGGAAAACACTGCTGTACGTGTTTTTTGTTTTTTTTTTTTTAACTTAGGAAACTGCTTTAATTTCTAGAAAGATTTTTCTTCTTAACTAGAATTGAAGGGGTCAAACTTCAATTTGTTTGAGACACAGGCATCTTTGAGCTTGTGAATGCTTCTTCTAGGGTGATCTCTTATAGCTATTTTCTCTGCCCCACTGAACTTTCTGTGATATTGATGAAAACATGCTCTGTCTGCATGGCCTAGGTCTAGTCCAGTAGCCAGAGGCTGTATGTGGCCATTGAATACTTAAAATGTAGCTGCTGTGACTGAGAAACCTAATTTTAAATTTTATTTAATTTTAATTTAAACAGTCACTTGTGGCCTCTGGTTACCATATTAGACAGTCTTGCCCTAGACTGAAGTGAGGGCAGGATCAAATGAATACACAGAAACTATGTTATCTTCATAGAAGCCTGTTTTCTGGAATGTTCTGAGCTCTCCTGTAGCTGGTAGAGCTAAAGAGGGCTTTTCTATTCAATTTGCCACAAAATTGATTTCCTAGGCTTCCCAGGTGGCACACAGATAAAGAATCCGCCTGTCAATGCAAGAGATGCAAGAGACACAGGTTTGATCTCTGAGTCAGGAAAATCTCCTGGAGAAGGAAATGGCAACCCACTCCAGTATTCTTGTCTGGAGAATTCCACGGACAGAGGAGCCTGGTCGCTACAGTTCTTGGGGTCACAAAGAGTCAGACACGACTGCACACACACACACACACACACATGCAACACGCTATTCAAAGAGATAGAGCTTACTGTTTTGAAAGAGTATAATAATTTCACACTTCCCTTATTTTAAACAAAAAATAGCTAAAGACACATGGAAAGGTCATTGATCTATGTTGGATTAGAAAACATGTATTTCTATTTCAGACTGCAGAATACTTTCTAGGAACATTTGCCAATTGATAAATGTTTTCCAGAGGAATGGTATACAGAACTTGTTTGTATGTTTATGAACAGTTTCTTTAATTAAAATAAATACTCTCTAGAGCTTTCTGTCTTTGCACTTCAAGCTGGCTCACAAGCAGAAAGTCTAGCAAGACTAATTTCCACTCTGCAAATGAGCCAATCTTAGAGCTTAAATTAGATTTTTGGACACCTGTCAAATAAACATGGCATGCATATTTCTGACATTTCATAATGTTAGCTTTCTTTTAAAAATACTCTCTGATAAAGAACATCCGGTATATCAAAAATAATGTGTCAAAAAAGATTTGATTCTATGCTTTACATGTTGAAGAGGCCATAGAGTTGAGGCTAGCAAGGTGAGATTATAGCCTGGAGCTTAACCCCAACAAACCTGCATTTAGGCAGAATGAAAAATATCTGTGCTTTTTGGTGTCTCCTGGAAAGCATTATGATATAAACCACACATATGTGGAGTCTAGATTTTAATCTCTATTCTTCTTTGGAAAAAGGGAAATCTTCTAGACAGTTTTCAAAATACTTGAGGTAATTTAATTAAATTTTGTATTTTTATAAAATTGAAGTATCTTTAAAGGATGGAAAACGTAACCATTTTCTTTATTAAATATTGGCCATCTCTTGACTTTCTATTTCTGAGTCCCACATATTGAAAAAAAAAGGCTCCCCATCTGGTTACTTTTAAAATCAATAATTAGATCTCTGAATGAAGGAACAGTTATCCCCATTTGTCTACATAGACTCCTTTTCCTATATAAGGGCTAAAACAGGAGGCTTGGGCTCTAACTTAACTAAAGTCTTCAACAATATATGAATGCTATTGCTATAAGTAGCTTCAACAAGGATTTCTTGGCACATAGCAAGTCTACCCTGTCCTCATTGAAGTCTAGATTCAGTTTTGGTGAAGCCTTTGTAACTTTAGGTTCTACAATTTTTGAGACTCTCTTCAAGGAAGACAGTGCAAGAATGTAAACTTGGGTGAGAGGGCGTGGAAGGGATCTGTGCAAGTGAGGGGCCCAAGACGAGTGCTCCGTTTCCTTGATCAATCCACCTCAAAGCCACACACGCTACTGATCAAGGGAGGGAGAGTCTCTCAGATGCTGTAAGAAATTCTATTTAATTTCCTTAACTAATGGTTGACTTAATGAGTTGTTTTTTTTTTTTTTTTAAGATCACTGGTTTTCATTGAAATGCATAAGAGTATTTTTTCCCCTGTTGTTAAATCTCATCCCTGTATTTCTAATTCAAAACAGAAATTTCTTCATTAAATTCCAAGTATTATTTTAAGAAATTATCTCTCAGATGTATAACATCCCGAAACACCATCATATAAGATAAAAATGTTTTGCTGATAGAAAACTTGCAAGGTTTGATTGCCATAGCTTTTTGTATCCCCAGGTCAGTGAGTGTAATGTATTCCATATTTTGTGGCTATTTTCTAGCATTAAACATGTCAACATTTTACATCGGCACCATCAAAGTTAGTGAGATAGTTCTGATGAATAGCAATAAGGACAGAGAAAGAATAATGCATAACATGAATTCCTCAGGAAATCAATTAATATTTTTATGAGCAGTAGTGAAAATATGATCAAGCATTGGCAGAGAGTGAGGTCAGGCTATTTGATCCCCAAACATATCCTTGTTGAGTTCTGTCTATCCATGTAAAAATATTCTGTGCTTGTCAAAAGGAAAATATCAGTGCTCCCAAAACCAAGACATTTTCTTTACCAGAATGCACTGAATTCTTCATTTGGCAGTGAGGTCTAAGATAGGGCATATAAGGTGCAAGTTTTGGAGGATTTTCAGGTTCCTAATTGATTTTTTGTGCATCTCTGAAGTTAGTATATTTTGGTGTTCTAAATGATGTATTAAGTGTATAATTAAAACACTTCATATTTTATGTTTTTTGAAGAGATTCTTGTTGAGGCAAGGTAAGCGATTCTAATATTGGCGCAATGATTAGTATTTGAAAATAAAAGTGTATTCATATTACTTCCACATTATTAAGATTCATTCATTCATTCACTCAATGAATGTTGAAGTCTAAATACATGTTCTTACTGAGAACAATATCAAGGCTGAGGACAGGAATATGAAAGCATGAAATAAGTACAACACTTCAACTTGGACCCTAAGAGGTGGTACTGAAGTTCAAATAATTCTTTAATAATGGTAAAATTTTTGCTGTAACCATGACACATCTATCAGGCCTTTCCTGGATGGACTGACATTATCATTTAGATGGAAATCCTTATATTCATTAGCTAATGTTCACTGCTCTCTGGGCAACAGTTAAGTTAGTGACTTAGGAGGGCCAAAGATCAGCTAATCTGATTTTCCAATGAGTAGTACTATATGCTTGCATATGAAAGTCATAAGTACTAGCCTAAGCACTCGTTTAAAGAAGTCAAAGACAATCACAATACTGAAGCTTGTGTCTTCAGATGGAAGCTATGTACGACAGCAAGCAGCGAGGTAGTGGGGACCATCTAGCATGTGGTGGTGGGCTGACTGATGGGAAGATTAGAACTGTCCTGTCTGGAGGTCAGCACAGAGGTGTCTCAGCTCTAAAACATGAGTCCATGTGGGTCCACCTCACTCTGTATCTGGAAGGCTGAATTTTTAAATTCTGTGAATGACAGGGAATTTGGTTTTCAACCTTTTTTTATGCATGAGATACTTTTGGTAACATTAAGCATTTCTTGGATACCCCACATAATAAGAGTTGACAGTTGAAGACAAATTAAGTACAGGTGGATTCGCGGATACCTAACAATAAACTTGAAGGCTACAGCCCAAGAAGCATGTCCGAGACTCTGACGCTTCCACAGCTTGCTGTCAGTTCTTTCCTTGAGCACTGTGTAGGGTGAGGCACTCCTTGCTCCGGGGGCAGCCTGCTGTGTGGCCACTGTCCATGGTGCTAACAGCAAACCCTGAGCAGAGCCACCTGATTCAGCTTCCTCTAACTTCTACTTATTGGGCCCTGTTCTGTCTCATAACAGACAGACAACATAACAGACAACATAAACTAACCATGGATTCTTTCACACAACAGCTTTCCATTACCACCCTTAAATCCAGAAAAGATTGGCAGCTTACAAGGGTGCACAAATCACAGCAAAACAGCATATACCAGGAGAAAGGGAAGAGGAACAAGTCAAGCCAGGAAATAAGCTTCCAAACCCGTTCTATCAGCGGCCCGTTTCTCTGCTGTAGATACCTCACAAATGTGGCTCTAGGTTTTCCAGCAGTCAGCTTTCGGGGGGACCCTTAGCAGTGTCGACTTTTCCCAGGACAAGCATAACGAATCTGGAATGGGCACCATGGTCCCTCAAAGAAAAGCCCACTCAAATGTCCAGAGCCACAGGCGTTGAGTCATCTGTACAATGACCACAGTATAAACAAATGACACCAAATTATTGTGCAGGAAAAGTAATTCTTTGAAGGACTAAAAGAGTGGGGCCTAGGTACCTAATTCCCTGCTGCATCTAACTTGATTCAGAGGGGAATATTTTAGAATATTTGGAAGAGAGGATCAAACAAACACTCTGTTGTTAATTTTCCTTGAATATTTAATTAGGTCTTTTAGGTGAGCCTTTGATCAATACTGATTAAGCTGTTAATTAAACATTAAACAAATACATATGTTATGCCATGTGCTGTTGTGCCCATCAGCTCATTTGACATTCATAATGACCTTATGAGGGCTTTCCTGGTGGCACTGGTGGTAAAGAACCCGCCTCTCAATGCAGGAGACACAGGAGACACGGGTTCGATCCCTGGGTCGGGAAGATCCCCTGGAGAACGGCATGGCAACCCACTCTAGAACTCTTGCCTGGAGAATTCCGTGGACAGAGGAGCCTTACACAGGTCCATTGTAATACAGTCTGTTTTTAAGTGAGGAGACTGAGGCACAGGAAGATTAAGACCATTGGTAGTTGAGGAAGCCAAGATTTGGACCTAAGTCATACAACCTAATCTCCTTTTTAAACACTACAGAATCCCTAAGGTATGTAAGCTGGGTTAACATGCTTTTGTGAAAGTTGAGGATTTGAAGAAAAAAGAGCAATGAAGATGTCAATTTATCTCTTCTGAAAAGCCAAAGCAATGGGAATTGATATCAGCCTGAAAAAGCTTACGGGGATTGGGGCAAAAAAGGTGGGGAGAGCAAAGAAAGCATCAAGTTAGATGTTTTAGAAAATCATTTCTCTTTGTTCTTTATTCAGCTTCTTCAAATTACAGACAGTTGTGGTTCAAAATATATCCATGAATTCCCTGACACCCGTTCCTTTAAGACGGAGTCTAGCTCCCTTCCTGTTGTGGTTGGGCTGGAACTTTTACTCAGCGCTAACCAAGGGAACAAAGCAGAAGTGATGGTGCACAGCCTTGGAGAGCAGGTCACCTTGGCTTTCTCTTTGCTCTGTCTCTTGGATCATTTGCTCTGGGTAAGTAGCCTGAGAAAGGGGTATGTAGTGAGGAACTGTGGCCAATAGCCAGTGAGGAACTGAGGCATTTTTGGCCAAGAATGCTCTTGGTTGAGCAAGAGAGCAAGTCACCATGGCTTGACAACAGCCAGTGAGGAACTGAGGCATTTTGGCGGTGGGTCTTCCAGCCCCAGTCAAGTCTTGGGCCAGCTGCAACTGAGCTTGACTCCAACCTCATGAGACCCTGAGCGAGAACCACACACCTAAGCTACTTAGGGATTCCTGACCCTCAGGAGCTGTGAGATAAAAGATGCTTATTAATTAAAAGGCTAAAGTTTGGGGTTATTTGTTACATAGCAACAGATAAGTAATATATAAACCAACAAGCATTCCCCCTCCCCACAACAAAACAATAAATAAAAATAAAACACATTACCTAGACCTTCCAAAGAAACATCTTGAAGGTAGCTATTCTCCTTTAGGTAAGGTTTGCCCCTAAACTCTCTTAACCCAAAGATATTAAAGCAATTCAATTCATCTCCAAGGTAATTTTCCATAATTTGGAGTTCAAATGTGTGTGTTACTTATAATATCACATTGTGTAAAAAAGGGAAGAGAAAGACATTCAAATCTTAAAATTACATAAACCTTCAAAACTGTTCAAGGTGAACAATGAACGCAGAAGAGGGCCGAAAGAACTCCCCGGCTTTAGACAATGGAACAACAGGAACAATTGTTAGGCAGAAGCGTAGATAGAACTGGGCCATTAGTTAATGGCTATTGTAACTCAATCTAAAAGAAAACATTTGCTAGAAACTCTGATCCCAGAATTTGGCAGCTTGCTTGGGCCACATGCAACTGGTGCAGATTATACAGTAAATGATGATGATTAAGGCTGGGAAGCAGGGTTTGATTTCCATAACTTCTAAGGCTAGCAGACATGATGTGAGTTTTCATCCTAATGAAATCGCCATTAGCCCAGAAGTATTTCTTTCTGCTTACGCATCATGGCATCTCATTATTTTTCAACTTCCACTTGTTCTGCTTTATCACTCAGCCCAGAGCTTGGTAAGCTCCACTGCATGAGCGATGGGGAGCCCTACCAAGGGTGACAGATGCCAATTTATGCATAGGTAACTCAGGAGGCTCAGCCCCAAATTAGACCTGGGTAATATGCCTCTGCCATCCATCCATACTCCTCCTTCCAACAAAGCTCTTCATGAAGCTGCAATTTTAAAAGGAATGCTCTCCCATCACAATTCAATAGCATTTTATAAGCACATACACTTCTTCCTTTTCTGGCCGGCATAAAATTTAATACCAGGATTATTATCCATTTGTCATTTCAGCCTATAATTTAGCCAGCCGATTTGCGTTTGAGTTATGCTTCCCGCACCCCTTCACCATCAGCTTGCAGCCAGCAGACCCATTCAAGAAGCCTTAGAACAAACATTTTCCATGTTTCTTTTTCTGCTTCCCTAAGAGGCCCCATTAAGTTTTGCTCGTCTCAATTTAAAATGATTTTTACCACCCGATAACATTTCAAGTTTTCCATATTAATCTTCATTTTTATTTCTTGAAATACTTAGGCCAGCAACGTCGCTAAGACAATGATGCTAAGAGGTGGAATTCTCTTTCTCCTTCACTCCTGTCGACTGGATGCTACCTCTGAAGAAATCATTTTTGCTCTGAATTATCTGAGCACTGGAAGAAAAGTTTAAAAGGCTGACTGAGTGATTTCATGTCTTAAACACTGATAGCTATCAAAGCAGAAAATCTTACCTCCCCTCTTTATATACGGGATTCTGTTAAGAACGGAAAAATATATTTAAAAAAATTTTTTTACATCAGGTCAAAGATATCTGAGTCCAAGTGGAAAATGAAAATAAGTAAAATGAAAATAAAAAAATCAGGTCAAAGCTATCTGAGTCCAGATGGAAAATGAAAATAAAGCACCAACTGAGCCAATTTGCCAAAGCAAACACACACACACATACACACAGCCCACACCCGGTGTGTGGCTGGTACTCACCCCGCACCCCAGGCCGTGGCCCGGTTCGCAGGTGACCTTCCGCTGACCCGGTTCTGGAAGCAGCCCCGCCCCGCAGCCCGGGCTGGGGCAGAGCACGCCTCCCAGCCGCAGCACGCACTCCTCCGCCCCGTAATGCTGGTACCGGTTGTACTGCAAACAGAAAAGTCGTTTTTCAGAGACAGCACAGGTACGAAGAGGTACAGGCGCTCACGTTTTAGCGAAATGCTAATATTTGGTGGTTTGGGAGGGGTTTTCTTGTCGATCCACTTCCAGAAAATCTGTAGGGGCGGGGTGGAGAGGGGTGGATGCGGTATGGTCCAACCTAGAGAAAGTTTCCCAGTCCCAACTTGCAAGAGTGATAGGTGAGGCATTTATTGTTTGTGTTTCTAGAAATTTGTCCTCCAGAAATCTCTTTTTCCGAAGTTCGGATTTTTGGAATACTACTTTGTTGCTGTTCAGTCACTAAGTTGTGTCCGACTCTCTGTGACCCCAGTGGACTGCGGCTCGCCAGGCCTCCCTGTCCCTTACTATCTGCTGGAGTTTGCCTAAGTGCATGTCCATTGACTGAGTTGGTGATGCTATCCAGTTACCTCATCTAATACTGTTACCAACAGCATTTAACAGACGTTTTCATACAAATTTTAGGGACCATATCCATACTTCAAGTTATGGACACTCATAAGGAGTCACTTTCAGTCTCAGTATGTTATCATGCCTCTATTCAGGGATCTGTCGGTTCTTAAAACCATTTTGAAAAAAGGCATCAGTGTTCCACCTCTGGTAATTGTTAGCAGCCCACCCAATATCAATGAGTATATTCACTTTGATGAAGAAAGATTGATGTTCAAGAACAAAATTTTCCTTTCACATTATTCTTATTCTTAAAGCATGATTTCTTTTATCCCTGACTTCATCTCTTTCTGCTCTTGCTTGTCTCAATTCACTTTAATGATTCCTCCAGGCTGCAGAACAAGATTCAAACGGCACAGGCCATCTTCCAAAGCCTTCCTTACCACAGTCCTAAGTTACTGGTCTCCTTGCATTATTTGATCATGTGCCCTTCTAAACTCAGATCAACTCAGATGTATCTGCCCCACTATGAATTAATTTGTGCAACATTTATTGAGCACCTACTATGTACCAGACACCCCTGTGACAGCTGGGATACAGCCCTGAACAAAAGGGCATCTTTACTCTCATCCAAAAGTCTAGAACAGTAAATACAGAAAGGTTAAACTGTCCAGCATGTCAGATGGTGATAAGTGGGGAGGAGAATAAAAAACCAGAAAGAGACAGATTCGGGGGAAGACGTGAATGACAGTTTTAGAGAGGTGATCAGGGAATAGGAAATCCCTTATGTAGAAGGTTCGTTTAAGCCAACATCTGAAGGAGATTAGAAAAGCAAGCCAGGTGCCCCCGGGGGGAAACGAGTTTCCAGGCTGAATACAGAGCAGGATACAGGTGCAGGGGCTGTGTGTGCTCAGTTTGAGGTCCTGCAGAGAGGCCAGTGTGCCTGAAGTAGAGTGAATGGGGGTGTGTGTGTGGAGGGGGGGCAGATAATAGTAGATGAGCCAGAGAGTTAATGGGGATCCAGGATGTATAGATCCCCGAAGGCCGCCGGAAGAATTCTGGCTTTTATTCTGAGAGATAGAGGAACCGCTGGAGACTGTGGATCTGTGGATGACACAATTTGACTAATCTCTTAAAGACAGCCATCTGGCTGATATGCTCAGCGTAAACTCCCCAAGGACAAGGATGGAAGCAGGAAGCAGAGATGCAGGTCGGAGGTTGTTTCAGTGAGATCCATGGAGAGATGGTGGAGGCTTGAAACAGGAAGGCAGCCGTGGGGGTGACGATGGATCAGTGATTGAGCTCTGGATGTATTTTGAAGGTAGAAATGGCAGATATTTTTAGGCGGACTGGATATGTGATGTGAGAGGAAAAGGAATCAAGCAGGATATAATGTTTGTTCCCTAAGGAGAGAGGATGGGGGAGGGCGTGGGGGAGACTGTTACTGAGATGGGGGAACATGGGAGAAAGCGGTGTGTGTGTGTGTGTGTGTGTGTGTTTAGAGAGTTGAGAAAAGGAATCACTATTTCTGTTGTGATCATATTCAGTCTGTTAACCTCTGACACAGCTAAGTCAGAATGTTGAGTGCCTAACTGAACGGATAGCTTTGGAATTTAGGAGAAACATGTAGGTTGTAGACACCAGTTTTGAAGTCATAGGTGCACACAGAGGTGAAAAGGAGAGGATTAGCATCAGGGCAACTGTCCATTTTCTCATATTTCTGACCTCATCAGAAAGAGGAAGATGGATTGGTCAAGTCCCCTTGTAAATATGCTACTACTACTTATATACAATGGCATTAGCTAGAAAAGAGTTCTTATCTATAGAATGCATTTAGCGGGAAACACTTAGTCTAAGTTTGCTTACAGTAAACAACCTAGAATATGTGAATGCATAAAGTAAGGCTCTCTGAAAATGTCATAAGCTATGCAATTATTAAGGGGTAAATGAAGACGTTTCATCAAGTGGTGAATACCTGAGAGGTTTTATGTTAGAGATCATTCTGTGAGCTTCCTGGAGACTTGATGCATTGACTCTTGCCTAGAGTATGTCCCAATATGCTGAGAAAGGGCCTGGGCTTTGTTAAACACAGGATCTACTGCCTTTAACACAGTAGCTGTGTTAAATGATGTGGGCTTCCCATTATTTCGTCTGTACTTCACCATTACCAGCATCCTGGAAGTTATTAGTAAAGCTTGACACTGGGCTCCATCTATGATTCTTGCACGTCTGGTTTGACAGTCAGACTCTGTCATCTCAACAGCCCCGAGACCGGAAGAGACGCTGTACCCTTTGTGGATGCTGAGATAGGGCCACAGAAGAG